AAGCGAGACAGGATGCTAAGGGGGAAGGCGAGGTCCGGGCGAGTGCACGTCATCAGGTACATGAGGCAGCCCACCAGCTCTGCGTAGGGACCACTGGGCTCGAACAGCTCGTCAGGAAAAGGCCCAGTGAGTCTGTGGTCTACAGCAAGAGGAGTGGGGGCAGGAGAAGAGTCCTGAAGCCCGAACCGCTGAAGAACCTGCTGCACCATGTGTGACTGAGTGAGAGTGATGGTGCGAGCGGCTCTGTCCCTGGAGATCTGCAGGCCAAGGTAGCGACGCAGTTCCCCAAGGTCAGTGCAGGTGTGTCTCTTCTGCAGTTCGGACTTCACCTCCGCCAGTGCAGCTGTGTCGGCCGTGGCAAAAACCAAGTCGTCAACGTAGACTAGGACGAAGAAAGGTGTACGGCCACGACGAACAAACAGCGACGGGTCGGCGGAAGACGGCTCAAACCCGAGGTCGGAGAGAGTAGAGCGGAGAGTGTCGTGCCACTCACGGGGTGCCTGGCGGAGACCGTAGACCGGTCGTCTGAGGCCCCACTGGGTCTCAGGCGGGAAAGTGCCAGTGAAGCCCGGAGGACGACGCAGCCAGATCTCCTCGTGTAAGCAGCCCTGGAGGAAGGCAGTGGAGAAGTCAAGAGAGTGTAGCTCGTAGTCTCTCTGCGCTGCTACGTGCAGTAACACCCGAAGAGTGGTCATCTTCGGGGTGGGCGCGAAGGTCTGAAAGAAGTCAACCCCCTCGCGCTGACTGAACCCTCTAGCCACGTAGCGTGCCTTGAAGACTGGGGGAGATCCCGGCGGCCGCTTCACCTTGAAGATCCACATGCCGTCAACAATGTTCGCCCCTGGGGGGGGAACCTCGTCAACGTAAGTGCCTGTGGACCTGTAGGAGGCCATCTCTGCGTCCATGGCAGCTCTCCACTGAGAGGCCCAAGGCCCTGACACTGCCTCAGCGTAAGTGCGAGGAGTAGGTATGTCAGGAGCGTCGGGGTCTCCCTCAGGAGTGAGCAGCATGGCACAGAGATGAGGCGAAGCAGCTGCCAGGAACTCTAGCTCAAACTGTCTGTCCTCTAGGACGTCACAGCCAAGGGCACACACACCCACGGCGGACAGAGGACGGACAGGAGGAGCTGCCACAACTCGAGTGGCGTAGTCAAGGCGACGCGTAGCAGTAAAGTCGGTGACAGCGGCAGTGAGGACCGCGACGGAGGAAGGAGAGGCACGAGGGTCTGTAACAAGAGAGGCGAGAACACGAGAGAGAGTGGGGCGGTACGTGCGGTAGTAGTCAGTGACCGGAGTGGACAGGGAGGTAGTGAGGGAAGACTCAGGAGGACGAGGAAGGACAGACGGAGGAGAACGAGGAGGACGAGGACGAAACAACACGGTACGGAGGTCAGTGACAGGGGACGAGGGACGAGCACGAGGAGGGCGAGAGGCCCAAGTGTGGGCGAGAGGAGGGGGGGACCGAGGAGACTGAGAACGAGGGAAGACAGCCGGAGTGGAGTCCGGAGGAGGAAACGTGGGACCAAACACAGGAGGAGAGGAGGGGAGACCAAGGGCCCGAAGGCCAGAAACAGGGGCCGGAGGCTGCTCCGGCAGCTGCGGCGGCTGCTGCTGCTGCTGCTGCTGCTCCTGCTGCTGTGGCTGTGGCTGCGGCTGCTGCTGCTGCTGCTGCTGCTGCTGCTGCTGAAACTCCAACCGCTCACGCTCCACCCGCTGCTGAACCTCCGACCTCTCACGCTCCAAACGCTGCTGCTCCTCACGCTCTAGAAGACGAAGGGCCTGGTAACGAGTCGGGTAGGGGTGAGGAGGAGGAGTGGTGTCAGGAGACGACGAAGAAGAACTGGCTCCACCCTCGACAGGACCTGGCTGAGCACCCCCAGAGCGAGGACCCCCTGCGGCAGCACGACCAGTTTCTGTAGGAGGTGTACCCGCACCCCCAGTCGTGGCGCCGCCAGTGGCACCAGCACCAGCCCCAGACTCTCCAGCTCCAGAAACACCACCAGCTCCAGCACCACCACCGACTCCAACACGCTCGGGACGTGCAGCTGCGGCAGGTGCACGCTCAGCTCCAACTCCAACACCCCCAGAACCGGCACCGCTAGAGCCCTCACCTCGAGCACCAACACCCTCAGAGTCCGCAGTGGCCGGGAGAGGAAGCGCCGACGGCTGCTGCGGAGGCTGTGAGGACGACTGTGGGGAAGGAGGAGAGACCTGGGGGGGGACCGAGGGAGGGGGGGTAGCCTGCGACACACCTGGCTGGCGCGCGGGCTGGCTGGGTAGATAAAGGGGACGAGGAGGCGGCTGAGGGAGGCAGAGGAGGGAGTGGAGTAGCGAGCAACAATAGCAGTGTAAAGGTCTGCAGCAGACTCGACCTGAGTGAAGTGGACAGCCTCAGTTGGCGGGAGAAGGTCGGTCAGGGCGAGGCAGGCAGCAGCGTCACGAGACTCCCACACGTCACGAGCGAGGAACCGGCGCTGGTACTCAGCCTCCTGCTCGGAAGTAGGCGGTGGGGAAGTGGGCAGCGGTGAAGGCTGCGGCGGGGCGGGCAGAGCACCGGACGCATGCGCAAACAGGTGCACGCCATCCTGGCGCTGGCTCCTAAGGTGGCGCTGGGCCTGCGTCAGCCAGGTACTAATGTCGATCGCACGCCCCTCAGGGTCGAAACGGAGCACGCGAGACGTCGCCATGAGGGGCGAGGACAAGTGATAGCGGCCGCCAGCCGCGAGAGGAGGAGGAGAGGGAGGTGAGTGCGAGGCGGGTGCGCGCAGGCGGGGCGCGCACTGGCTGGGCGCGGGGCGGCGGGGCGCGCGCTGGCGGGGCGCGCTCCGGCGCAGCGCGCTGGCTGGCGTGGCGCGCGGGCGCGGCGCGCTGGCGGGCGGCTAAGCAGGGCGCGCGCTGGCGAGCGCGGCGCGCTGGCGTACGCGCTGGCGGGGCCCGTTGGCGTGGCGCGCTGGCGGGCGCGCTAGCGGGCGCGCTAGCGAGCGCGCTGGCGTGCGTGCTGGCGGGCGCGCTGGCGAGCTCGCTGGCGGGCGCGCTGGCAGGCGAGCCGGCGGGCTCGCTGGTGCGCCCGCTGGCGGGCGCGCTGGCGGGCTGGCGTGCAAGCGCGCTGGCGCGCAGGCTGGCTGGCGCGCTGGCTGGCTGGCGCGCTGGCTGGCTAGCGCGCTGGTGGGCTGGCGCGCTGGCTGGCTGGCGCGCTGGCTGGCTAGCTGGCGCGCAGGCTGCTGGCGCGCTGGCTGGCTGGCGCGCTGGCTGCTGGCGCGCTGGCTGGCTGGCGCGCTGGCTGGCTGGCTGGCGCGCTGGCGGGCTGGCGCGCTGGCTGGCTGGCGCGCTGGCTGCTGGCGCGCTGGCTGGCTGGGGCGCTGGCTGGCTGGCTGGCGCGCAGTGGTAACCCTAGTGGTAGGGAAGGGCGGGCCTAGGACTAGGAGCGCTAACCTACTGCTGATACAATGTCAGAATGAGAACTACAGCGGAATGCGTTGTATTTACAGAATTGGGGTACATAACCTAACCCTAACTAGTTGTACCCCATATAGCCCAACCCACTACAAGCTATAATATTTGACACAATCCTGCATTCGGGGTGGATGATCGGTCATAGTGTGTGCCTACATAATGTATATTTGCGATCACCCCTGTGGTAGTGCCCAAGATCTTAAATCTGCAATATTGCCGAACTATGTCATGCTAAGTTAGTCAGGCGGGTAACTAGTTTTTTTAAGCGTGATGGTTTTTATATTTCGCAATGTCTCTCCGCTTACATTTCGGCGCTTCACCTTTGGGCTACCAGTCTTACTCGTCTGCTTGCATCACGATTGGACGATCGGTTGCCGCATCCGGCCCCTTAGATTGTTAGGCCCCTCGAACAAAGTAGCATTTTTATTGTAACCCTTAAAATATCTGTAAAATGGTTCATCAAGCGCGATCAATCTTTTCGAGTGTCCACGTCTTGACAAGCCTACCATTCAAACCACATTTCCCAAGTTACGCATCTTGGGATTCTCGCCTGATCTCTAGGTCGGCAATAATCTACTTGCTATTGCTTATTGTGTTCTCCACAATCACTTGATTCCAATGATATGCGCAGCTCTGCTTGAAGTTGTCAATACATCAGCAATTTTCAGAATCTCAATGTTATATTTTCCAGAATGAGTACAAGCAGTTTTATAGTCAACCAAGGTACAAAAAATGATTCGTAGCGTAACTAGTTTCCCAAGCAATCTTGCGCGCGCCTTGTCCACCCCGAGTCGAACCTGGCCCGAACCGAAAACACCGAACATTCCTTGAGTCTGAATCTCGATCCTTCTCGATACACCTCAGTCTCGAACCACAATTACCCCTCGTTGACTCCTCTCATCCTCCTTCCAGCACGTCTTCACGATTTCTCTCCCACTCTTCACCATAGGCTGATTTCCACTGTTTTCACACTCGAATATCCCACGCGCTTCCCTTCCGCTGTCATTCCGCATCTCGCCGTCGTAGAAGCTTTCGCCGTAGGTTCCGTGGTTTGGCGAACCAACCCTAACATGATCGAGTCTGGCGAACCTTGATTTCATCTTGTATGGATTCACTCTTCCAGATTTTACTGACAAAATCACTATCCAGAGACCTTTATTAGCGAAGTCGTTACATGTTATACGAGGATCCGTTAGTAGGTTGCTCGAATTAATCATGATCGCTTCCGCGGGACCGCGTACGCGGCCAGGAGCATCTGGTTCTGCACAAGGCTCCATGTCAGCATCTCCCTCCTCCGGCTCAATCCATTCGTTATCGCAGGACCCCTCACGCGGTAATAACAACCGCGTTATAATGCTCATCGCCGCCCTACCGTTAGGCCTGGCCGCGTTCGCCTTTATCCTCCACTGGCAGGGTGATTTTGATATGTTAGACGACGGACAGCCGCGGCTGCCCGGATGGCATCAGGTGGACTCTAGGAAACTTGACAAGAGCGTGGCGACGCCGTCAGATGTACCGTGCGATACAACGAAGAGCTTTAAACCGGGGATGTACCCGAATCCGTCGATTAAAGTGCTCGGAAATCTGCAGGATAGTCCGAAGCTACTAATAACTACGACCACGTCGGGCGGCGCGCAGCAGATTCTGCCGTGGATTATGTTCCACCGCGCGATAGGTGTGCACTACTTCATACTATTCGTGGAGGGGAAGGCCTCTTCGCCGGAAAACGTGGCAATATTTGAGTCCATGGAGGTAAATTTCACGGCCCACCACTCTTTGTATTGCTCCACCCTCCTCGTTCGTCGCTTCCCTTTTTTCCTCGTTTCCCCCGTCCCACACACCCCCCAACCCCCCCCACCTTCCGCCCTCCTCCGTCTTCATCCCTCTCGATTCTTTCTTATCGCACTATCCTCCTCCCTCGTATTATCTTCCCATTGGTTTCTATAGGGGCGTGGGTGCATCCTTATGCTGCCCTTACTTCCCTCTCATCACTCTTGTCCATTTCGTCCCCTAGTCCCACCCATTCCCCCCCTCATTCCCCCTCCCTCTTTCCTCTCCTCGCCCCCTCGCCCCCACCCTTCTCTCTTCGCCCCCTGTCCCCCAGGGCGTGACAGTGGTGCAGCGAACCAAGGAGCTTGAGGACCAGCAAGCCAAGAGGTGAGCTGTGAGCGCTTTTGAAAATCTCCAGAAGTGGTTTCTGAGTTGGCTCAGAGGTTTCTCGTCCCTCAGGGTGTGATAGTGGTGCAGCGAAACAAGGAGCTTGAGGATCAGTAGGCCATGCTCTACACTCGGGTCCCCTCTGCCCTTCTCCATTTTGACATACTGACAGCCGCCTTGTGCTTGTGCTTTGACATTATTCACCATTCCAAACTCTTCGTTAGAGATATAGCCAGGCCCTTTTCTCTTTCCACCATTCTTTCCCACCTCCCCTCACTCCCCCCACCTCCCCCTCCCTCCCCTCCCCTTCCTTCCTTCCCCCACTAACCCCCCCTCCTCTCCTCACCAAAACACGCCACCCTTCTTTCTAGCCTCTGTGGAACGCTCGTCTCGTTTTTCCTGTGAACCTTGCAGCTATGACATGATTCCAACCTTGCTCATAACCACATCTTTCCAACTTTTCTTCTCCCTCTCCCTCCCCTCTGCACGCCCCCCTCGCGTTCACATCCGCGTCTTTCTTCCCCTCCCGTTCCGTCCAGCCGCGAGTGGAAGGAACGAGACATGGATGGCTCGCATTCTCCATGGCTCGCATTCTCCATGGCTCGCATTCTCCTTCTACAAGCCACGCAACTACGAGCTCTTTGTGTGTCCCAACTCCCTCCTCGTCCTCCTCACCTCGTATTTTCCCACTCTTATCCCTCTCACACCCCCTCCCCGTCCAGCCGCGTGTGGAACGAGACATGGCTTGCATTCTTCTTCTACAAGCCATGCAACTACGAGCTCTTTGTGCGCCAGTCCCTCAACATGGAGATGGCCATCGTCTTCGCCAGGGTGGGTTACCATGCTCAATAATTTCGCCAGGGTGGGTTACCATGCTCATTCATTTCGCCAGGGTGGGTTGCTATGGTCATTCAATTCACCAGATAGGGTTTTTATACTAGTTGGCATTCCCCTCCCCTCTGCAACAAGCCATGCAACTACGAGCTCTTTGTGTGCCAGTCCCTCAATATGGAGATGGCTATCGTCTTCGCTAGGGTGAGTGGGTTACCATGCTTTTTTTTTTCGCCAGTAGGGTTACCATTGTAATTCATTTCGCAGCAGGAGTTACCAGTTATTCGTTTTGCAGGGTGGTTCACCATGGCTGTTGTCTTCGACCAGGTTGATCATCATGGCGAATGGGAGGGTCATTCCAACTTACTCCGCCGCATTAACTCACTCCTCACTGCTCCCTTTTTCTCTCACAACTCTCTTCTCACGTTGCCTCTTCTGCCACCCCTTCTCTGCCACTCCTCCTCTGCCATGTTGGGAGTGGATTGGATATTCCATGTGGACACGGGCGAGCTGCAGTACCTGGCAGGCAACACAGTAACCCCTGTCTCACTGCCCTGTGCTGCTGTGTTCTGCTGCCTGCCCTCCCCTCCCGTCACACCACTGCCAGGTGTTGGGCGTGGATTGGATATTCCACGTGGACACAGACGAGCTGCTCTACCCTGCAGGCACGCCCGATTTCTCACCGTGCTAGTGCTCTCTCTCACAACACTCCCCGCCGTCTGTTGCACTACCCCATCAGGTGTTGGGCGTGGATTGGATATTCCACGTGGACACAGACGAGCTGCTCTACCCTGCAGGCACGCCCGATTTCTCCCTGCAACGACTCATCCACGACCTTCCCAGCGATGTGGACCTCATTGTCTTTCCAAACTACGTGAGTTCAGTGCGGTGCGGTGCAGTGCTGTGCGGTGCAGTGTATTCATTCATGCCAATACACTCACCCCCCCTGTGTGTGTGTGCGTGTGTTCATGTGTGTGTGTGTGTGAATACAGGAGAGTGTGGTGGAAACAGCTGATGTGGGAGACTCGTTCACCGAGGTATTACCTTTTTGAGGTGCTGTTTCCCATTCTATGCATGCCATCCACCGTCCTGTTTTGTTTGTTTCCTTTTATTGCCATTGCTGTATGTAGGCTAGTTGATGTACTAATGTATGCAAATCGTCCTCCCTGTTACAACAGGTTTCGCTGTTCAAAAAGAATTACGACCATGTTACAAGGGAAGCCTATTTCGCCCACTACAGGGATGTGAGTTCATGCGCGCATTCTTTCCCAATACTCGACTCTCACCATACCCGATTCTCTCCCTGCAAGGATGTGATATGCATGCACCTATGGCATTGGCAAGAGAAGGGCAAACCTGCTACCTCACCAAACCTTCTACGATTCCCGAATCTCGCCTCGCCTTTTCACTCCTTGCTGCACGGATGTAATATGCATTCATTTATGACATTGGCACCGGCACGCACGCAGGTGGCGAGCTCTTTTGGCGCCTCAAAAATAGACTCCCTGGAATGCATGGATGAGATATGCGTTTCCTGGAACGATATGGACTCCCTGGATTGCATGGATGAGATATGCGTTTCCTGGAACGATATGGACTCCCTGGATTGCATGGATGAGATATGCGTTTCCTGGAACGATATGGACTCCCTGGATTGCATGGATGAGATATGCATTTCCTGGAACGATATGGACTCCCTGGATTGCATGGATGAGATATGCGTTTCCTGGAACGATATGGACTCCCTGGATTGCATGGATGAGATATGCGTTTCCTGGAACGATATGGACTCCCTGGATTGCATGGATGAGATATGCGTTTCCTGGAACGATATGGACTCCCTGGATTGCATGGATGAGATATGCGTTTCCTGGAACGATATGGGCTCCCTGGATTGCATGGATGAGATATGCGTTTCCTGGAACGATATGGACTCCCTCGATTGCATGGATGAGATATGCGTTCTGTCAAGGCATTGGCAAGCAGGGCCGAACCGAATCTGTTACCTCTCCCCTTTCCACCAGCTCCTCTGCTCTGCATTTCCCGTCCCTTCCTTATCCGTGCAACAACACTCGCAGGCAGCACATGGCAACCCAAATTACTTCCTCACGTACGGCAACGGCAAGTCAGGCGCCAAGATGCAGGCCCACCTGAGGCCCAATGGGGCGCACCGATGGCACAACTACATGAAGGTTCCCAAGTGAGTGTGTCTTGGTACGACTGCCTATGTAGCCTATCTACCCTAGCCTGCAGCTTAACTGCGTGAGTGAATGGGGTTCAAGGTGATGCAATTCAGGTGCCCAAGTCAGAGAGGCACAGGCGCATCTGAGGCCGAATTGGGCACACTGTTCTTTTGTGGTGCAGCTCAACGTGGTGACTTGTGAGTCGACTCAAAAGTGACCTCACGTCTCGGCAGGTGCAGCCCAGGCTGCTATGAGCCGCCTTGTAACAGCTCGAGGCCATGCACGCCCTCACGCACCCCCTCCCCACCCCCTGTCACACACAGGGAGGTGAAGCTGATGGAAGCAGCAGTGCTGCACTTCACCTACACTCAATTCTCCGACCTCTCGTCTCTCATCACCATCTCTCACCCTGCCAGCCCTTGCTCTGCACCCCCCCTCCTAACCCCCTCCCCCCCCAACAGAGAGGTGAAGCTGATGGAAGCGGCAGTGCTGCACTTCACCTACACTCACTTCTCCGACCTCACGTCTCGGCGGGACCGCTGCGGGTGCAAGCCCAACTCGGAGGACGTAAAGAAATGCTTCATGCTCGACTTTGACCGCCTGGTGAGAGCTTTACATGTGGTATGTATGCACTCCGCGTGTGTGTTTCTGGCTCACATGTGCCTCACTTTGACCGCCTGGTGAGAGCTTTACATGTGGTATGTATGCACTCCGCATGTGTGTTTCTGGCTCACATGTGCCTCACTTTGACCGCCTGGTGAGAGCTTTACATGTGGTATGTATGCACTCCGCGTGTGTGTTTCTGGCTCACATGTGCCTCACTTTGACCGCCTGGTGAGAGCTTTACATGTGGTATGTATGCACTCCGCATGTGTGTTTCTGGCTCACATGTGCCTCACTTTGACCGCCTGGTGAGAGCTTTACATGTGGTATGTATGCACTCCGCGTGTGTGTTTCTGGCTCACATGTGCCTCACTTTGACCGCCTGGTGAGAGCTTTACATGTGGTATGTATGCACTCCGCATGTGTGTTTCTGGCTCACATGTGCCTCACTTTGACCGCCTGGTGAGAGCTTTACATGTGGTATGTATGCACTCCGCGTGTGTGTTTCTGGCTCACATGTGCCTCACTTTGACCGCCTGGTGAGAGCTTTACATGTGGTATGTATGCACTCCGCATGTGTGTTTCTGGCTCACATGTGCCTCACTTTGACCGCCTGGTGAGAGCTTTACATGTGGTATGTATGCACTCCGCGTGTGTGTTTCTGGCTCACATGTGCCTCACTTTGACCGCCTGGTGAGAGCTTTACATGTGGTATGTATGCACTCCGCGTGTGTGTTTCTGGCTCACATGTGCCTCACTTTGACCGCCTGGTGAGAGAGCTCTTTATGCATGTAGTCCTCCACATGCATGTTCTGGCTGAGATGTATGTACGTGTCTCAGTCAGCTGCGGGTGCAAGCCCAACTCGAAGGACGTGAAAAAGTGCTTCATGCCCAGCTTTGACCACCTGGTGAGTGTCTTTTGATGTAAAATGTATTCTCCGTGTGTGTTGGCTCAGACGTATGTGTCTGCTTCAGATGCTGTGGATGCAAGCCAAACTCGGAGGACGTGAAAGAAAAATGTTGCATGCTTGGCTTTGACCGTCAGTGAGTGCTGCCGTTTATGGGACCTTTATATTGTGAGACGGCAGTACAGACAGTAGGACGTGAAGGCTGTGCAAGCAAGCCGCTTGCAAGCTCATCTCAAGAGGAGGCGACTTCTGAGGCAGCTTTGTGACTTGGGCCTTGGCACGACTTTTGATTGAGGCACCTCAAATGGAGCCTGTGAGTAGGACCGGGAGGCAGCACAACAGTTGCAAGCCAAGCCGCACTTGGGGACTCGCACTCTCAACCGCCTTCTCGTGAAGAAATGCTTAGAGAAAGGGCTTTGCAACATTCTCACTTGAAAATCAAGCTGTTTATCATGACATAAAGAGGTGGTTTTCCCCTTTTCACCATCTCTTTGCTCTTCCTCTCCCGTCCCATCTCATGTCTCACATATCCCTCTACAGGCGTTTCTCATAGCATTTACACAGACAGTGGAGCAGTGGAGCACTTGTCTCATGTCGCTGCCACTCCTCCCCCGTTCCTCACTTGTATACTATTCCGTCAGTTGGCCCTCCCTTTTCCTCTCTCACGTCTCCCTGGGCAGGCGTTTATCATTGCATTCACACAGACAGAGGAGCAGAATCCCCTTCCCCCATCCCTTCTTCACTCGCCCTTTGTTCCTTCCTCCGGCCCTCCCTTTTCCTCTCTCACGTCTCCCTGGGCAGGCGTTTATCATTGCATCCACACAGACAGAGGAGCAGAATCCCCTTCCCCCATCCCTTCTTCACTCGCCCTTTGTTCCTTCCTCCGGCCCTCCCTTTTCCTCTCTCACGTCTCCCTGGGCAGGCGTTTATCATTGCATCCACACAGACAGAGGAGCAGATGTTCCAATGGTGGGTGTGTGATTGTGATTATATCTTTCCTCTAACATCCCTTCAGTTACATCTCGTCTAACATCCCTTCAGTTACATCTCCTTTGTTACATCCCTTCTGTTCCCATCTCTTCTGTTTCTTCTTCTGTTTCATAATTTCCACTCATTCTCTTCCACTTCAGCTCTTCTAATTTCATCTCATGTTCCTTGGTGCTGCATCAAGTCTAACTTTCTCCTCCCGATTAATCACTTGAACCAACCTCAGGTATAAGGACCATGTGGTGTGGTCAGACCGTGACATGATAGAGAAGCTGCTTAAAAAGGGGATATTTGGTCGCATCCACACACCCCAGGTACGGTTCCAACCTATGGACCCCTGTTTCCTGTCACACCCGTGCATGGTATTTTTTAGAAGTCTGAGAAATTCTGCGCTTCCACATTCTTGATTTTAGGAGGCAACAGTTCCCTGTTGCCTCCTCCCTTCCCCCTTCCCCCTTGTCCCCATCCTCTTCCCACCCTTCCATTTCCTCCAGTTGATTCTCCGCAGCATATATGCCACGGGCATCATTAACGGCACACTGGAGGCAGCAGCAGAGGTGGAAGCGGCGCACCCAGCAGCAGCAGCAGCAGCAGCAGCAGCAGCAGCAGCAGCAGCACCTCTTCCCCTTCTCATCTCCCCCTTCTCCCCACCCTTTCACCCCTTTCCAGCTAATCCTTCGCAGCATATACGCCACAGGCATCATCAGCCGCACTCTGGAGGCAGCAGCAGATGTTTTCTTTCTCCACTCCCCCTTCTCCCACCCTTTCCCCTCACCCTGCTCCCCACCCTTTCACTTCGCCCTTCTCCCCTCCCTTTCAGCTGATTCTCCGCAGCATCTATGCCACGGGCATCATCAATCGCACTCTGGAGGCAGCAGCAGAGAGGTGGAAGCGGCGCACCCAGCAGCAACAGCAGCAGCAGCAGCAGATTCTTCAGCCGCAGCTGATACAGCAGAAGCTACAGCAGCAGCAAAGGGAGCGACTGCAGCAACAGCAGCTGCAGCAGCCGCAGGAACCGCTGCAAGAGAAAGCGCTTCAGCAAAAGAATCAGCAGCAGGGGCAGCAGGAGAGCGACAAGCAGCAGGCAGGGATGGGGCACGGGGGAGGGGAGACAGGAGTCAAGGCAGCAGCACAGGTGCTACACCAGGCAGTGGATAACGAACAGAGGGAGGAGCAGAAACGCCGTCTTGCGCTTGACAAGGTTTCTCACTTCATTTCTGACAGCGCTCGAGGCGTAGCAACTGCAGCAGCAGCGAGGCAAGCTCACTCTAAATCTGTCAGTAATGGCCGGGGACGTTTGGGAGAGGCTGGCACGGGTGCAGGTGTGGCAAGGTTCGGCGGTGGTTCGGGAGGAGCAGGCGTGGGTGGAGGCGTGGAAACTGGTGGGAGTGGTGATGGTGTGGCAGCTTCTGCTGCTGCTGGTGCTGGTGGCAGTGGTGGCATCAGTGGAGGAGGTGGTGGTGGGAGTGGCGGTGGAGGTGGTGGTGTGGCTGCTGGGGGCAGTCGATTGTTCAGAGGAGATGCGCTTGACTCAGCAAGGCTAGCAGAGAGGGCTGCTGCAGGCACAGGTGCTGCTGCTGTTGGTGCTGGTTCTGGCAGTACTGGGAGTGATGGTTCTGGTGTAGACTCTGCCGCACACACAGGGCCTGACCTACAAATGCAAATGCACACACAAGCGATCGCACGAAGGCGACTCATGGCTGTTCACGACGCACAGTCTGTTCAAGTCGTAGTCTTTGGAAAGGAGAGCTACAGGGATGCTAAGGGGTGGAGTGTGGTTGGTTCTGAAGGGGTGGTGGTGGGAGTTGGAGGTCAGTTAGAGGCCACTGCTGTGCCGCCACTGCCTTCGCCTGCTACGGACGAGCTGTAGCTGTAACACTGTCACCGTATGCTGTTGTGGAACAAAACCACTGTACGGTAACAGTATCCCGATGCCGGATTACTTTGTGGGGTATTGTACCTTGTATGGATCCATTGGTTTTGCCTTTCTTATTACGGTACAGGCATGCACTATTTTTGGGTAAATAGATCTTGTTACAGTATCTTCATTTTAACCACTCTGGAATTGCACAGTCGAAGAACAAACTACAGCTACCGTATTCTCCCGGATTAAGCACCCTAGGGTATTACGGTATGAAAACCATAGGAAAAAAATGGGGGGGGGGGTCTCCTCAAAGGAAAATCCTATATAATACCCGGGTCTTATTATACGGTATATTTTTATAAAACAGATATGTGAAACAAAATCAGGGGTCTGACTTCACTTCAAGATTGTTGATCAATGCCGCAAAACCGAGTACGAGGATATTGTGGGCCACTTGGGCCACTTCACCTCTTGGACCACTTGCAGTGGAAGATTCGCCAGCGTGGCGACAGCGAGATTTTGGGATTCACCAGCGTGGCGACAGCAAGATTGTGGGAGGGGGGATATCTCGGCTGATTCTAAGTGAAAGTACATGCGAAATTTCTTCTAGGGAATGATTTTCGCGATATCCTCCCGTAAGGAATCGGACTCGATAACAGCTATAATAGGAATCTATAAGAAAACGGGGGTGTTATAGAGAATCACCCCAAAAAGGGGGGTATAGTACTAACGGGGTCGGATATAACACCCACCCCGTATTAGCTACCCGGGGGTGTACAATTACAGGGGGGGTGTTTTATCCGGGAGAATACGGTACATCTCATACCGTCATCGCCCGGATATAAGACATCGTATCACCCTGGATATAAGCGCATGTACGCTTATAATAAAACAGTGTTTTTTAGGGGGGTGCGCTTATAATTGAGTAATAAATATAAGCGCATGCGCTTATACAGGTAAAATGACAAGTATAAATTTACATTTTTTTAACACCAAAGTGCACAAATCGTCCCTGCCATATCAATCGAGTCGAATTTACACGGGGTCGTGAGTGAAATTCTCGCGTGTGCTGGCAAATACATGTCAAATGTTGATAGTGATAGGCTCTAGTGAGTTGCACCTTAGAGAGTATAACACAGTTAAGGTTGCCTATTTGTACTCCCTTGTTTTCCTAAACTTATCATTCCGTTGCATTCACTTTCTGAGATGGTATCACGAGTAGGTTTAGAATCCTTGCCTAGCCTAGCCTACCTCGCGCCCTCGGCGCCCTAGAGCGTCTCCGCGCCTTACGCGCCCTCCGTCACGTGCCCTAGCGCCCTCCGCGCCCTTGCGCCCTCAGCGCTATAGAGCGCCTCCGCGCCTTACGCGCCCTCCTCCACGCGCCCTAGCGCCCTCCGCGCCCTAGCCTCGAGTAACGCGGCCTCCGCGCCCTCCGCGCCATCCGCGCCCTCCGTAACGCGCCCTCCGTAATGCGCCATCGGCGCCTCCGCGCCTAGCCCTCCCCTACGCGCCCTCCACCCCCTCCGTATCGCGCCTCCGCCCCAGCCCGTCGCGTCGCCCGTGCGCCCTGCCCTAACCTGTCGCGTAGCTCGTGCGCCCTGCCCTAGCCAGTCGCGTAACCCGTGCGCCCTGCCCCAGCCCGTCACGTCGCCCATGCGCCCTGCCCCAGCCCGTAACGTTGCCCGTGCACACTGCCCCTAGCCCGTGCGCGCCCGTGCGCCCTGCCCCTAGCCCGCCGCGTCGCCCCGCCCCGCAGGTAGCGCCCCCCCCCCGCAGAAATCGTGCCCCGCAGGGAGCGCGCCCCGCGGGTAGCGCGCCCCGCAGGTAGTGCGCCGCGCGGGTAGCGCGCCGCGCGGGTAGCGCGCCCCGCAGGCAGCGTGCCCCGCGGGTAGCGCGCCTTACAGCCCTGCAGGCAGCGCGCCCCGCAGCGCTTTAGGCGCCAGAAAATAAAATTAATTAATAAAAAAAAATAGGGTTCAGGGTGGGGGGCTGCAACTGTCGCCTGTGTTCCGGCTTGCTGGACGACCTGCACAGTTCCCTACCTCCCGTAGCCGTCAGTACTGCAGCCCCTTTGTTGCACGTACTTTCCACTGCCACTGGCTCCACTAGCGGCAGCCGACAGCCGCACTTACAGTCTCTAGCTCCAGCCGTTCTCACTCCAGCCGTTCTAGCTCCAGCCACTCCTAGCTCCAGGCATGCCTAGCTCCAGCCGTTCTCGCTCCAGCCGTTCTCGCTCCAGCCGTTATAGCTCCAGCCGTTTCAGCTCCAGCCGTTCCAGCACCAGTCGTTCCTCGCCTAGTTTCACCCGGCGCTCCTAGCTCAGTGTGCTCCGTGCTCTAGCCGTTCCTCGCCTAGTTTCACATGGCGCTCCTAGTTGTTCTCGTGGTCGTCCCTAGCTCCTGTCGCTCCTAGCCTTTATCATGGCGTCCACTAGGGTTCTCCAGCAGCAGGGACAGCAACATCGGCAGTTTCAGCATTGGCACCCGCAGCAGCAGTGGCGCCCTCAGCAGCAGCTCTGCCCTCAGCAGTTGTGGCGCCCTCAGCAGCCGTGGCGGCCTGTCGGTCCGGGTAGCGTTGGCTGCAGCAGCGGCCCAGCCGGCTTGGGGGCTCGTCGCGGTGGCCGCGACGTCAGCCCCTGCCAGTACCGGATCCTGACCGGCCCTGGTGCTGGCACTACCTGCTGACGTCCTGACCATTCTGCACCGCGCTGCTACAGTCGCCTCGACGACCTACACCGTGAGCGTTTTGGGCCTGAGTCGGCTCCCTCGATCTGGCCCGGTTTGTTTCGTAGTGGTTACCCTGTGTTTGATATGTCTATGGATGCTGTTTATTCTGACACGTACGGATCTCTTGGCTTGCGTGTACCTAGCTTAGGACCTTTGCCTGTTGCTAGTGTAGGTACTTGTGCTTTTAGTGTAGGTGCTTGTGTAGTCACTAGCCCAGCCGTGACAACTGCTGTTGCGTCGCTCTCCTTCATGCTGGACTCCGGCGCGTCCCAGTGCTTCTTTCGTGACCACACGACTGTCACACCTCTTTCGGCTCCCGTCCCAGTTGCCCTGGCTGATCCTACTTCAGGACCAGCAGTTGCTTGCAGCTCGACCACTCTCCCGTGCCCAGCTGTCCCCTCTGGTTTCCTCACTGGTCTCTACATCCCCTCGTTCTCTCGGACCTTGGTGGGTGTTGGATACCTTCAGGACCGGGGGATCACAGTCACGTTTCCTGCGCACGGGAGGACTGCGATCTGTACGGACTCTTCCACCGGGGCAGTTCTTGCCACGTTCACCAGAGAGCCCCACTCAGGTCTCTTCGTTCTGCACACTCCGCCCCCGCAGGTAGCTGCGTCTGGTCAGGTTGCTTCGTTCCCCCCGGTAGCAGAGTCCGGTCCAGTTGCAGTGTCTAGTCAGGTCACGCCGTCTACTCCAGTCACTGCGTCCTGCTCCTGTTGGTCCC